CAGAGTCTGGCAAACCTTTTCTGAGGGGGGTTAAATTTGTAAATATTTTTAGCTTTGCCAGCCCTCCTGTCCCTGCCACGACTCTCCAGCTCAGCCCCTGCAGCGGGAAGGCGGACGCAGACAGTTGACAGGTGCATGAGCTGTGTGCCAATAAAACTTTCATTTATTGTAGATTCTGGTCTGAATTTCAGATAATTTTCATGTGTCACGAATTAGTGTTCTTCTTTGATTCTGCCCCCCCCCCACACCCAGTGATTTGAAAATAAAAACCATTTTCAACTTGCAGCCATGCAAAGACACGGGCCATAATTTGCCAGCCCACGTTCTCAGGAGTCTTCTCGCCGTAGAGCAGTGACCAGGACAGAGTCCTCGCCGTCCCTGGGCCTGCGTCCTAGCAGCCTGGAGGGCTTCAGGCGGCGCTGCTTGTGTGCCTGAAAGCACGTCCGGTTGGATGGACTCTCAGCAGGCAGCTCCAGTTTTCAAATTTTAAGTCAGCTGACTTGACTTTCAAAGTGAGTTTGGCACAGGAATCTGCTGTTTAGTCATACTGTCGTGAGACTCCTTCCTCCGGGCCGTGCCACCTCCCAGCCTCCATCCTTCTGCCCCGCCTTGTCTCATCCCCTAAGGGGCACAAGGCTGCAGGGACCTGGGGCTCTTCGAGTCCCGGTGCACGGCTGACACACACACACACACCCAAGTGTTGTGTCCAGGAGCTGGCCGGACTGCCCAGCGCTCACCCTGGTGCGGATGGCAGGGTTCTTTGAAGGCGGTTTTACAACAGACAGGCTCATGCTTTCTGTTTGTAGTCGCTATGGAAACTTCAGAAGCTCCCTTTCTACAGCTAAGCAGACAATACAGCACTTCAAGTGCTGGTGGGATTACGGACTTTAGAAGATGTTTGATTTTCTCTCCTACTCTTTCTTCCCTCCTGTCTCTTTAGAGAGGGAACAAGAGGGCGCTGTGAATATTAACTGGGACTCGCTTTAATCTCCCCTGTGACACGGGGGGGCTGTCGCGATCCGCGGCCGCCCGGGCTCAGCCCTTCACGGCCCCCTAACGAGGTGACTCATGCATATTCATGAGCCAGGCTTGAGCGTTAGACACAGTTCGCAGGAGCTGCGTTTCGGTGCTTCTCTTTTCTACGCAAATGTTATGAAGGGAACAACTATTAAAATTCAGGTTTGTGATTATTATTAAGTCCGAGGCCCTAGATGGTGGTGCTAGAATGTTCTCACTGGAAATAGAGGCAAAGGGGCGGGCCTTTGTGTGGTGTTAATTTGTAGACAGATGGTGCAAACCCCAGAATGCCGGTGCTCACTGAGGGTGGGGACGTGGGGCAGACCTTCCCTGTCTGCCCCAGAAAGGCGGGTGTGGCAGCGTGCGGGATTCTGACTTGGTGAGCTGCTCCTTAAAGAGCAGGTACGACTCATCCCACCTACAGAAGAATGTGAAACACACGCTGAAGTGAAAAACATCGAGGGGCGCACTGTCATTCGTTCCTTATTTCCGATCTTCAGAGCGTGGACCCGTCGTGTGGCCACACTCCGCCCGGCCCCAGGCCCCCTCGTGCACACCCTTCTGCCCTCTGAGTAACAGTTTGGGAAGAAGACGACAGTGCCTTCCCTGCTTTGGGCTTCAGTGCTGCTTCTGTTAGGCTGTCCACGTGGTGGCCATGCCGGAACCAGCCTGCTCCTCGTGAAGCCCTCGGCTGTCCGTTTTGTTCCTGAAGTCGTGCGGGCCCAGCTGGGAGCAGCACCCTGGCGCGGGGCGGTTCCTGGGCGCCCGTGGGTCTGCCCGTCAGGAGGACTGTCCTGTAGTTCATTCTCTGTGCTCCTCTTTGCCTACATGTAAAACGGGGGTGTGTGCATTTCTCTACAGAAGTGAGCTCCCGAACGCTTTCAGGGTGAAGCACTGTTAAAATGCCGTAGCAGTGTTTTCGCAGAATCTGCGAGCTGTTTCTCCTAGAGGGACATGATTAAATCCACCCTTTCATCCGCCCGCAGGGGAGTTGATTGTCCTGGGGTTTGTCGTCATGGACAGCACAGCCCAGCTTCCTTGCCCGAGTTACACTGCTTCACTTTCATCTAATCTCTCAACCTCACCAAACCCTGAGTCAGGAAACCACACCAAGAACCAGAAGGAAACGCACAGCCCGTGTGAGTTACTGCAGTGCCTCCACGCCCTTCCCCGCGTGTGCGCGCGCACACACACACACACTCTCTCTCACACACTCGGTGAGCAGGAGATGGTGTTCGCTCGCTGCTCGGACACCCAGCAGACGTTTCCCAGCACCGTGCTTGGAACAGAGGACGGAGAGGTGAGCAGGGCGTCAGACGTGCTTCTGAGGGGTTCTCGGTGCTGGCGAGACAGAGATACAGACAAGTCATCGCCACAGACGTGTCAGCAAACATGGTGACAGGCCCCTCTGTCAGGAACTAGACTGTGTGCTGGGGGTGGAGAGATGGGGGTGCGTGGCCAATAAGCAGGCAGCTACAGGTGCAGTGTGATGGGGGCCACTGAGAGAGACAATGTTTTGGAAACACGCAGGGAGCGTGCCCGAAGGAAGCTGGTGTCGGGGTGGGGGCAGCCAGGACCCGCGGGAGGGCTTCCCGGAGAGGGAGCTGGGCTGCGCACCCTGGGCGAGGGCGAAGGGGCCCCCATCAGGGTCTTGTGTGGGGACAGACAGGTGGCGCCCAGCGTTGTGACATTGTGGGGCCTTCGCAGAGGTCCGGTTTGCCCCATAACTGAAGTGGTCTGACAGTTTGAAGCTCTGGGTGATGGTTCTTTCCTCCCAGGACACGACGTCTGCAGCCGGCAGTGCCAGCTGGCGTCAGATCCCTCGATCACGGGGCCGGCCAGCCCTCCAGCTCTGAGGAGCTTCCGGTGCATTCACAGGAATTCCAGTTTTCTTTCTTTCAGTTACATTTAAGTGAATAACCAGGAAAGCATCAGAAAGAAGCGTTTTGCTCTGTCATGTAACATTGGAGTTACTATACACGTGAACTAAAATTCTCCAGTCTTCCACACTTTCTTCCTGAATTTACCCTCCTGTGCTCACTCCTTCAGTCCGTTCTCACCACCACTGGCTCCCGCTTGGCCGCAGAAAGTGAGGAAGTGAGTTTGTATAATGATGACATCGTCCAGCCTGAGAAAGTGATGGTAGCGAATGATTCTCTGTTCAGAAATTTACTAATGGGTTGGAAGCTTTTGTCGCCTGGAGTCATTATTTTCTGTCCTGTTACAAAGTGGGGGTTTGGTGATTGTGAGAAAGAGGGAGAAATTCAAACGTAGGTTTTATGCACTGAATATTTATACGGATTCATCTCCAGAGAAGAAACGCAGTCTTACAAAGGACCAGGGCTCGATCAGGAAAGGATGACCGACAAGGTGCGGGATGAGAACAGTCTCCCGCCACGGGGGCAGCTGGTTGTAGACTCCCGTCCACTGGGCACCCGCGGTTCCACTCTTTGCCCTTTGGAAATGGTGAGTCATCTACACTCACAAGTGGCTTTGATGGTGAACCTCCGGAGACCAGGGGTCGTTGGCTGGTCCTCTTCTCTGTGCAGACCTGTGCCCATCCTGGAGGGGCTGGGGCGGCAGGCCAGTGGCAGCTGGTCCAGGGTGAGCTCGGGATGCGGTCAGGGAGGCCAGAGCTGGCGTGGACCCGCCCCGCCCCGCCCCGCCCCCGGGAGCCACCGAGGCCCCGCGGGGACTGCGGACCAGCTTGGACCGCATCCGGGGAGCTAAGATGCAGCCACCAGAAAACACTTCCTGAGCGCAAAACTGGTGCGTTTCGGTTGTCTGACTGGAGCGGACAGGCTTCTTCTTCGCTGTTTTCCTTTGAGGCTGTTGAACTAGGGAGACCGTATGACTTGAGGCCTTTCTCTGTGGCTTCCCGCGTTGAGAGGAGGGAGCCAGAGTGTCCAGGCAGCAGCCTCCCCCGCTGCGCTGGGGTCTCGGCCATGATCAGAGGCGCTGAGCCTTCCCCGGGGGGCCCGCCTGCTGCCTTCCGGGGGCACAGGTGCCCCAATCCTGACACAGAAGTGCCTGCGTGGGGAGGGCTGGTTTTCCTGCTGCCTCCTGTCTGATGACGGGCAGGAGGCCCCTTGTCACTGGGAGGAGCGTGTGTTCCCCAGTGGGCACGGTGTCGCTCCCTCTGAGCCAGCGGAGGGTGCCAGGCCTGCTGTTCTGGGCGCCTCCTGTGTCCCCGGAGCCAGCATCCAGCAGTTTTATTCAGTCTTCACAGAATGACGTGCAGCAGCAGTTCAGTGCTTTCACGAGGCGGGCGCAGCTCTTGGTGACCGCGTGCAAGGCCTCAGAGAGCAAGGCAGTGAGTCCGTCTCTCCGTACGCTGTCCCCCGTCGGCAGTGGAGGACTCGGGGCAGAGCCTGCAGACTAGGGCGGGGGCACAGCGAGGCGCGGGAGGAGGCGCCCTCCCCGGCGCACAGGGACGCAAACCAGACACAGCAAGTCCCTCAGTGGCCGCTGGCTTTGTCCTTAAAGCGCCGAGTGTGGAGAATTCCATGGCGGCTCCTGGGAAACGATTCTTACAACTGGGCTTCCTCTAAAGGCGATTTTCTTGTCTGATGCTAACCTGGCATCTCTGTGACTCGTTCTGTAATGCTCTTATCCCTGCCCTGGTGGCTCAGTGACGTGCTCTCCTGCACACAGGCTTGTGTTCATAAACTTCAGGTGTGGCTGCTCTAAGCCTTGGCTTCCTCGTTCGTTCATTCAGTAAATCCTGATTAGGTACCTCTCTCTGCCAGTTGCTGGACACCTCACTCACACACACAGGACATACGTGTGCATATGCATGTGTTACATCGTTTTCATTATTTCCCACGTTGTGTGCATATTCATAGCACATCCTCAAGAAAGATGTGTTCATGGATTTGCAGTTTTTAGTGTCGCTGTGCCTTCTGCCCCCTTCTCAGTAAAACTCGTGTGAAAAGTTCCAAACAGGAAAGCATGCTGGCAGATTTCCTTCACTCTGGTTCCAGTTCTGACCCAGTGGGTCGTGTACGCCATCCGAAACCTCACAGAGGACAACAGCCAAAACCAAGACTTGATTGCAAAGATGGAGGAGCAGGGGCTGGCAGACACGTCCCTACTTAAAAAAATGGGCTTTGAAGTTGAGAAGAGGGGTGACAAGCTGACCCTGAAGCCTACCAGGGACACGCCTCAGCTGGTGAGTACGCCGCCGCGCCGAGGGGTCGCTCCCTTTCGGTTTGTGGAAGGTGGTCCCCCCCCCATCACCTTGGATGTGACGCGGTTCCTTCATGAGAACACGGACGGGATATGTTGCCTCCTGAGATGCCAAAAAAAAAAGCCCCAAATTTAATTGCAAATAATTTTCTGCTCAAGCTTCATGCTGCTGTTTTCTTGAAAGAGTTGAAATTTCTAGGGGAGAAATAGAAAAAGTATATCAGAATTTTCAACATCTAAAAGCTTCTGATAGAAATTAGGTTTTCTTTAAAAGACAGCTGATGTCGACCCCAGTGAAAAGAACAGAAAACTCCTTGTGTTAAGTTGAATGGCTTGTTTCAGTTTTCGCTCTGTTTATACCGCTGACCAAAAATCTCTGCATGTTTTTTGATGATTCTTGTAAGCAGATCTGTTCCATCTGCCGTTTTGCTTCTTTTTCTTTCCTAGTGAATGAACTCTCCATCCCAAGTCAGAATTTCTGGAATCTGTTTCCGTGGATTTTTCATCTTCTGCAGTGTGTGAGATTGCAGGTGTTTGAAGCCTTCTTTAGTGCCCGTTCAGGAAGACGTGAATCTTTTAGACAATAGCGTTACATGTGTGTAAGCTTAAAAGTGAAGTAACGTGAGTTTTCTGTTGTTTCCTTGCTTTAAAACATAGCCGTCTGGTTTGCCTTCATCCCGTGGAGGCCGTGTGCATTCAGCGAGGTGTCGCGCTCGCTGTGGCACAGGTGGTGATCCCTCGCGTTAAGCGCACGTCCCTTACTTGGCAAAGACGGCTTGCTGGGTCCCCCTGCTCCCGCCGGAGACCCGGAGTCGGCCCCCTTCCTTCCATTGTTCCCTCCCCGGGGGCCTTCTGGGCTCCGGCCGCAGCTGAAGTATTTTCTCACTGTGATTAATTCCAGCAATCTCTTTTCAGCCCTTCTGCCTTTCCAAAACATTGACAAGACTCATTTCCAGTTAATTAATTCGAGAGATGCCGAAGAATAGAGGTCCTCCCTCTTCGCTTTAGGTCCGGGCTGTGTTGTCACCGAGCCCTGTCCCTTTGGAATGTGGCGGGGAGTGAGCTGGGTGAGGGAGCATGTGGGCGATTAACTCTTCTCACGCCGAGTCTCCCGACTTAGCCGTCTGCAGACCGTGGAGCTCACGCCAGTGCCTGCATCTTACCCACCTGCATGCCCCTCCGGGGGAGGAATATTCTGTGGTCGTCTCTGCGTGCAGGGCCCAGCGTTACAGGTGCACAGACTTGAGCACCAGTCTCAGAAAGGCATGCCACTCAGTTTTGGCCAGGGCTTCACGGGAATTACAAAAGGAGCTTTGAAGAGCGAGGGTTAATTTGACCTGGGTCTGTCTGTCTTTCTCTCTCTCTCTCCCTTTCTCTCTCTCTCTACACACACACACACACTCAGAGGTGGAACTGGACTGAGCAAGCGCTGACATCTCCGCAACCACCCAGACCATTCATACGGTCAGCCAGGACCCTCGTGGAGGCCCTGCTGTGGATGCTTTAAACATTCTCTTCTTGAGCAGCCATGTTACCAGACTAAAACATCTAGTGAGATTTTGCACAATTCCTGGTGAACTTTCCAAAATAAAAACAGCAGAGACCCCAAACAGAAGTTTTACCGAAACACAGATTGTTCCAGAGTAAAGTGCTTCTGAGTCTTTGTAGCTGTACTTATAACAATGGCTTTGTAAAAAACCGCTTCAGCATGTGAAAAATGAAATAAAAGCTCTGCCGTGTGCTACCCAGTGTCCTCTGTGCGACTGAAGACACGTGCGCTTCTAGGCTTGTGGTCGTGTGTGAGGCACGTTGATTCGTCCATAAAGAATCCTTTGCAAAATTCAGAATGCACACAGTCGTTCTCTGGGCCACAATGAGTTAAAGCGCTGTGCTCTGAGTGGTAGCCTGGCCAAAGGGGGAAAGCAGTGGGAGTCCCTTTTTCCTCTTAACAAGTTTGCAGTAGACTCTTCTTTTTTCTCCCTCTCTCAATGGATGTATGCACACCAGTGGCATCACACAAACGTGCCGGGCTAAGCCACATAATAACAAACACGAATAAATAAAAGGCGGCCTTGTGAGAACACAGAATGGGGTGATGGTTATGTGTTTTCTAAATAGGAAATGTGGGGCTTGCACAGTGAAAACATGCTGATGGCGGCATTGTGGCCGCTTTTGATGCCTTTGGACAGATTAATTCTGGAGCACAACTGCTCCCCTGTCCTCTGCCAGCGGACTTGGAGCTTCTGAGAACCTTGTTTTACATGCTGCAGAGGATTAAAGCACCACCTCAATCAGCCATTTAGAAGGAGAATAAAAAAAAGGCAGGCCAGCCTTACAAAGTTTGTAAAGAGACAGAATGGTCACAGCAAGTTTTGTGACCGTATTACTGCTTTCAAGAGCAGACAGACAAAGCGGTTCACTTTTTTGGTCTCTTTATTTTAAAAGCAGAGAAAGACTTCTGTTTGACATTCAGTCTGAGTATTTGCAGAATGATGTTTTTGAAAACCTTAACAATGGATGTTATTATTTCAAAAATATTTATTTTCACAATTTGAGTAACAGACTGTTAGAGTTTGTCCGTATGTCCATATTAATACATCTCGTGGGTTGGTTTTCTTGGGAAGCTAATGCTGGATGCATTTTTGTTCAGTAGCTTCTGCCTCTAACCACCATGCTTTGGAAAGTGCTAAAAGTTAGCGGCCTTGCAAAATGGAATGTAGAGGGATGACTGAGGTCATTTGGGCTGCCAATTAGTAAACTTTTAATCAAAAATTAAGATTTTATGTATGTATATCTTGTGTCCATTAATTTCTGAAGGCACTGATGTGCTGCCGTTACGGCAATGCTGGAACTTAAATGCTACTTAAATGGTTTTATAGTGTCCTTCAGTTTCTGTTAGTTATATGAGCAATGATCCTATGAATGAGTAAACAGATGTTGGGACAAATGTGGCCTACTCTAAACATACATATTTCATCGTCAGTAAGTTCTGCACATAAAAGAATTCATTTATATATGGGAGGCAGTAAAATTAAGACAATTCTGTGGTGCAGAGGAGTGAAAGAAGGACCTTAACATTTAGGATCTACTACAAAACCGGCCCTTGGGAGGAGAAACCCTCTTGGTGCTGTCCAAGGTTCTGACCGCCTCAACTACAGTCGCCTGAATATGGAAAATCAATTAAGAACTTTGTTTTTCAAAATTCACATCATTCCCCTTGTGTTTATATGATAGAATATCTCTTTTTTCCTTCCCTACACATTTTAATATGTTTATTTGGGTTTTTCAGGTCAAATGTTATTTAGGTGGCACTTTACAATATAAATTTGATTTGCCATCTCTAACTTACGTGAATTTTAAAGGTAAGCTTTTTCTGTAAATGTAATGGTTCCGGTGTTAACTCATTCATCAGACTTTCTTCGTCACAACCAAAGACAATTACTGTGTTACTGGAAATGACTTTTTGAAGGTTTTGATAATTGTTTATACTGGCTTATTTGAAACCTTAAGTTAAGCATTAAGTTAAACGTTTCTTCTTATTAAAACAATATAATGCACATTCTCCATTTACACATGAAATTATGCTTCTGTTACTTCAGTTAAGCAAGAGCTTATGTGGTGTTTTCTAGCGTGGGTATAATTTTTACCACCACTTTTTTTTTTTTCCTTTTCCCACCACTTTGTAAAGCTTGTGGTTGGGAGCAGAAGCTCTGAAGTGAGTGCCGGGGTTCCAGGCCCCCCTCTTTCACCTGTGACTCTGGGCAGATTCTGTAAGTTCTGTGCCTCCATTTCCTCATCACTGAAATGGGGCTTACAAACCACCAACCTGCAGGAATCCATGAGGATGAAGATAAGTGAATGTATTGGCATGCTTAGGCTGCGGCCTGACACGTGGTGCATTCACTGAGGCCAGTGCTCACTGCTGCAGCAGGCGCTGTTAAGCCTCCGAGACCTTCGTCATGTGTCCAACGGGAGCGCGTCTGTTGGGGGCGCACAGACACTGCACTGTGCGGGCCCCGTCCCCGCAGCCCTGGGCGTCCAGTAGGCACTCACGAAATGCACTTCACTTCTTTAGCAGATACTTATGTAATGCTTCCTGGGTGCCAGGCAATGTGTGGAGCACTTTAACCATATTAATCATTTAATGCTCACAGCCATTGCACAGTATTAACCCCATTATACGGATGAGAAAGTTGAGTCGCAGAGGTTAATGCCTGGGGTCCCAGAGCAGTAAATGCTTAATGATTAATTGCCATGGTTGGTTAGAAGGGAAAGAATGAGAGAACAAACTTGGCTTCTTTCTCTGGAGGTCAGTGTAGCAGATACGCCTGAACTGTGGCTCTGGACGTAGAGCAAGGGGAGCTTCGTGGGGAGAATCTCAGCCCCACTTCTTGCTGGCTGTGTGGCCTTGAGCAGGTTGCTTAACCACTCTGAGCCTCAGTTTCCTCCTGGAGCAGTGTACCGGCAGATCCTGGGGATACAGCAGTAAACGAGAGACACAGTCATGCTGTCATGAAGCTTATGTTCTGATGAGAATGGCAGAAAATTAACAAATAAACAGACATAAAAACAACATCACATACTGGAGAAAACAGCATGAAGAAAATAAACAAGGTCAGAATATGGACGGGAGCAGAGTGTCCATCCTGAGGCGGCCACACCTGACCCGAGGCCAGAAGGTTGAAAAGGTGCCGACTGTGCCAAGAGCTGGGGGAGCACCAGGCACAGAGGCCAGAGGCCGGGTGGGCTTCACACGGTCTAGGGCCATGGGGGCAGCGGGCGGGGGGACCAGGAGGCAGATCATGCAGGAATTTGCGTTTCCCTCCAAGTGCGTTGGGAAGGTGCTGACCGCGTTCAGCGGAGGGGTGAGAAGACCCACCTCCCGGGTCTCGGGCTGTGGATGAGGGTGGCTTGGCCGAGCGTGGTGGCCGTGTAGGTGGAGGCAGGGATTTGAGTTGATCTGTGTTGGATCAGTCGTTGAGGAGGGGAGTGTGTTACCAAGAGTAACTCCTCGGATTTCCTCACACAGCTGGGGAAATGGTCAGGCTCTCCCTAAGGTGGAGAAGTTTGATGTGAAGAAGAATCCGAGGAGTGTTTTGTCTGGTCGGTACTGGAGGTACATGTTTGGAGTCACTGTTTTCACGTGTAAATAATATTTGAAGCTATGGGCCGAATGGAACATACGGCTCACATGACAGCCTACACTTAACACTACCGTAAAATTTTTCCAAATCTCACAAATACACGTTTCAATGGCTGCATCATTGAAACGTCCTACTGTGGCCCTAACCATCCTGTTACCACTGGGCCTTCCGGGTTGTATTTCTCATCGTGATCAGTGTTGCAGGGAACATCCTGGTGCAGAAGAGCTTTGTCTGCACTTCAGGTTGCAGACCTTGGGGGGTCAGAGAAGGAAGACAAGATTAAGGGGCTAAAGAAGATTTGGCATGAATTACGAGAGTACGTGTGTTAGAAAAGGAGAGGGCACTTCCAAACCCAGTGATAAGATTAACGAGGTGATTCTGAACACAACTCCCCGAAGACAGATAAAGAGCAAGCCAAACTATTTGAAAGCTACTATTTGAAGGTACCAGGGGGAGAACAAGACAGAGTGAAAAGTCACCG